ATTTTAGTCTATTCCCATCTGCTGGATATATCCCTATAAAAGTCCAAGCAAAAAACCCTTGCATTTTTAAGTAAATTACTATTTGCTCTGATTTCATGCATGGAATGGTTGTAACCCATCTGCTTAGAGACATGTGATCTTGCTTTAAATAGGACAAGTTACTGGACTGGACTGGACTGGACATTGGCCCTAATTTGGCCCTAATTCTCAAAGTGAGAGAAACCTGATGTATTTTCATTTAATGAATTCCTTTAGTGGAAATGCAACTGACACAAGTTCTAAGCTTGTAGTTTATTTCACTAATAAAAATAATATGATAGCAAAAGGTACTTCATTTTTAATTTGTCTCCAGTAGTATTCTGTGTTTGCTTGTTTGTTTATTTTATATCCTACCTTTCTGCTGAAGACAGACAATTGACAATCTAGATTTAAGTCACAGCTCCATCCTGGTGCCCTCCCATTCATTTGATAGATAACTTTTCTATGTCCAGAATTATGTTGTACATCTGCAGAGCTCCTTTGCATGCACAACTACATGCATAGACACATTAAAGATGTGTGTAGGGACTTGCAAATCACAAAAACAAAACCTGACCCCAGCATGATACACCCCGCCCTTCACAAGTTCATAAAAAGCCTTCTAGTGAATGTTGGAAAGGATTCTATATCTGTGTACTGAGAATATGTGAGACCTGCTGCAAAGGTAGTTGTGAGGCTTATTGGAATAAAGCAAATATAGTTATAATGAAAATGAAATGGTGAAATAAAGGCTGGCATCTTTAGCATTGATGCATTGATGCAACACTTCTTGGAAGACTGAATAATTCTTAATGTGAATAGGTTTTAAAATAGTTTTGACAATTAAAGCTTTTCAGATGGTTGAAAAAGCCACACTACACACACTTGCCTAGATGTTCCAGTGAGTTAAGTGTAGCTTACTTTGAGGGGAACCTGTATAGGACTGCATACTGAGTACACTGAATATTCAGAACACAAAGGATTCTGAATATTCTGCAAGGATTGTAGAATATTTCCTTGCACAGACATGCTATACAGCAATATCTTGCAGCAATCTCTATGGTTTTTGTACTCTCTGCTTTCAGATGAGTAAATCCTGAGAAGACAGAGCTATTAACACTAGACTACTGAGCTGCAACCTAAGATAGTTTCTCTATCCCCTTCTGTTCCCTGTGAGCAGACAATGTCATCTGGCCAGATCAGGAATTTTAACAGGCAGATTATCAGTAAGAACCTATTTATTTCAGCAGACAGATCTTTATTTTAGCTAAAGGAGATTAGCATTAACTTCCTCTTACTCAAAGAAGTTACATTGCAGAATGGTTACTTCAGCTTCCTGGCTGATTTAAGTCCATTGTGGTGTTTTGCGGAAATTAATTCTCTCTCTTTGCCATATACTTCCTCATCTGCAAGCATATTTACTTTTACCACCTGACTGGAAAACAGCCTAAGGAGTATAATATGCTTCTCAATCTGTTGACCAGAGACAGAAACACGATCAAAACACAAATAGCTCTCTTCCTCCAAGGTAAGACTAATCAGATCTTTCAAGGGAACCACAAGAAGGGAGTTGCTTTATCTCTTGTCTGTCTTGCAAAAATGTTCTTTTTGCTCATTAGCAGCAAAAGCCAATCCCTTGGATTAATGATGTGTTGTGGGAATGTTCTTCCTGCTTAGTAATGTGCTTCATTTGATAATTTAGCTAGAACCTTTACTCTTAGGTCCAGAAGAATTTTGCCTTCCTTCCTTAATGACTGGTCTCTGTATAGTTGCTCACTGGGAGACTCAATTCTAGGCCCTCATTGTGGAAAGTTCTAGAACACTAGTTTGAATAGGAGCCCTTTGCACTACATTCCATTGGCTGAAAGGTCACTACAGCTTAACCAGGAGGTGGAGCCAGCACTATTCTCTTATCACAGTGGATAAGGGGTTTTTACTGTGAATTATATTACCTCAGAATGGCCTAACAGGTTTACTTCCGCAGTACTAATACTAATACTAAGAAGAAGGCAGGCAGGCCGTCCGGCAGTCCTGCAGAAACTGGTACTCGAGGTTTCCCTCAAGTACTTAGATACAGCACTTCAATGTGTTGATTTTTTAAATTGTACTTCTCTCTTTGGGAGTCATTGTTTCATATTCTGCATGGAAGATTCCTCTTGCAGGAAGTAACTATTTTAAATAACAGAACAGTGTGGCATAAAGCTTCCTCTGTAAAGAGCGACATTTGGGGTTTAAGTACATCCATTTAAAACAAAATTGTTTAAATTTCTTTTTTAAAATGTACAATAAAAACTAGACATAATTTCCTAGACTAAGTTTGTGCTCTTCCATCTGCTAATTATCGGGTGGTAATGTACACACTTGGAAAGTGTGGATTTCCAAATTCTTATACCTACTCCCACCTCAGCTTGCCATTCCTTCGTTCTTCATGCCAGTAGTTTTCTTTGCTTCCCCTGTGGTAATGTCAGCCATTCAGAAAGGTCTGTCATACTGTTAATAGTAGAGGAAAATCTAATTCAGACAAATAATGCAATCCTTTTGACATTTTTATATGGAGAAAAACTTCTGATATCCTTTTTTTAACTCAATTAATTGTCTTGAATGCCATTTTTGACCATATAAATAGAAATAAATAAATAAATCTGTAGCCTTGGGAGACTAGAGCCCAGAATATTAGCATTATATACTTGCAATGATATGTTTATTTTGTTTTGTTGTGCAATATAAAAGCAAACAAACTGCTCCACTAGAAAATAAGAACCAAAGAACAGAACTAACATACTACAATGTTTGAGTGAGCTCCAAAAAGATCCTTAGTACTAGTTACGTACACACAGTCACCATATAGTTGTATATAACTGAAGATGCTCATATGTTAAAAGTAATGATGCACATACTTCAGCAAAGACACCCCAGATATCTATATATTTATCCAGTAGTAGATTAAGCCTAAACTACCTATTTAAAAATTCAAGTTGCATAAAATCTTCCACCCATTGTGTTATTGCAGGTGACTGTTTATGCTTCCAATGTTGTAATATTAATTTTTTAGCTGTCAGAAGGATGAAGAATATCCATTACATTGACCTTGCATTCAATTCAAAGAGAGCAGTAGGTAATTCAAATGAGCATGCATATCCTTAATATTAAAGAACTTTCCATTACAATATTTATCTGAATTATTACCTCCTCCCAAAAGGAAGTTGACATGGGGCATTGCCTAAGCATATGGAGAAGAGAAGCATTAGCAACATTACAGTTCGAATCATGGGCTGATTAAATCTTTCTGAAAGAGATACTGTGGAGGCCAGCATACTCGTAATGTCAATTTATGTTGAATTAAGTGCAGCCAAAGATCTACAACTCCTTACAAAATGGATAATAATGAAGCATCCTATTGGTTGGGCAAGATGGGGTGCACCAGTTCATTTTTTCATTCTTGCTTGAGACCCTGTGTATTATATTATTCATTGGTAATAGTTATGTATACACATGAATCGTAGGCAGAGACATTGCAGGAGATGTGGTCCACATCTACTAAAACTGTCTCATCCAAAGCAGTTTTGCAATTTGTAAAAAAGTTGTATCTTATTATATGAAAGGATGTCTCTATCTTGCATATCCGTGTACTCCTTTAACAGAAAAGGGGAAAGCTAGGTTTTCTTCACTTCTCCACAATGTCTTGCTAACTTGGGGTTTTTTGTTTGCTATTGTTGTGTTTATGATCTAATCAGTTTTACATGCTTGTACAGATAAAAAGCGTTTGCAGTTAGGAGGGCAAAGAGGAGAGAAGTTCTCTCCTCCCCATCGTCTTCACTGAGTGGGGGAGGGCAGGCTGTAAACTGGCAGTTGTTTACCTGGATGAAACCATACATTTGTTGCTTGTACATAAAATAGAAAAAAAAAACCCTCTGTTGATTGGACAGTACTCTTAGAAGAAGGTATTTTGCTCTTCTGTCATTTCTCTTGATATTGTAGCATAGTAGGGTATACATTGCTAGGCAAGCAGTTAGACAAGTCTTTATGCTAATGCAGTCATTTGATGCTTTGCATGCACTGAAATTGCTGGCTACCTAATCCAATGAGTTGAGGAATTGCATTGTTCACCTTTCATGCCAACATTGTACTTGCTAGCATGTAACTTGTAATGCTAATTGCCATTGGTATACTTTGTCCTCTCTATTCACATTCATGGTTTTCACAGTGGCTGGGATGGTGCTTGCTGTCATTATCCTTTTTTTTGCTATATCACTGACCTCTTCTTGTTCCAACAGGGGGTGTCTGATGGAAGGAAAAGCAGCCTTACTGTCCTTTTCCACAGTGGTGGGATGTTCTTTCCTTTCTCCTAGCTCCAAGCAACTATTCTTCCCAGGGAAGAGAATCCCCCCTGACAAAAGCTGCAGACTCTTTTTGTTTTGTTTGAAAAGTGTTACCCATGATGGAAACGCAAATGTTTCTTTCTTGACTTAGCAAAGTTAATTGTGTCAGAGATTTGGGGGCTCTGATTTAGCAAACATACAAACTTCTGTAGACTATGTGGTGCAGAGTGCAAATATTTGAGGAATGCAGCAGGAAAAGGGTGAGGAACAAGAACATATTTTTTACAACATTTTTGTTGTAAGCCGCCCCGAGGCTTCGGCGAATGGGGCGGCATAAAAATGTTTTAATAAATAAATAAATAAATAAAATATTTAAGGATATTTAAATAGATACATCCACGCCACAAAATATATGACAAACTTTAAGACCATTTTGAAAGAAGTCATTTTCTGTTTTCTTTGCAGGTATATGTCTCGGGTTCATGGTATGCATCCCAAAGAGACCACTCGTCAGCTTAGTTTAGCAGTAAAGGATGGCCTCGTTGTTGAAACCTTGACTGTGGGATGCAAGGGATCAAAAGCTGGTATTGAGCAAGAAGGATACTGGCTTCCTGGAGATGAGATTGTGAGTATATATTCCACAAGACTTTACATCACATCTCCTGGTACGTTGACATGCAGCCTGCTATTTGCAGCTCCTACTAGCAACATACACACAGGGCCTCAGATCAGTTTACTTTTTAAATCTAATTTTTGCATAAAGTTATTTTCTTTAATGGCTTTATGTAGCTATAGGATATTTTTCCAGCACAAAATTCTTTAGATACAAATAAATTACTGCTTGAATTAGATGCTTAGAAGCATCAAAGAAGCTTTTTAAATGATGTAATGAAAATGGATGGTATTCATATATCTACATTTTTTATCTATAGGTTCAATTTAAGGTATAGAGACACACCCCAGAATCCAAAAACCACTTTAGGCTGAATTTTGTGACACCCCCTGCCCTCTCTTTGAATAGTGTGTCATGTCATGGCAAAAAACTTGCTTTTGAATAAATTTCAAAGAGGTTGATTTCATATTGTAAGCTACCTTGGATAAACCTATGTCTTGAAAGGTGGCAAAGGGATATATTAAATGATTTTTCTGTGTGGCATGGGGTGTTGCTATTTGTGGACCCAAAGCATGCAGAATTTGTCCCATGATTCACTGAATCCTGGACATATGGTTGAGTCTCAAATTAAGGCACAAAGGGACCAAAATATCAACCAGGGATTGGCATTTTACTCCATAGTTGCCCTGTTCTCTAGTAGGATGTCTTTGAAACGCCTACTATTGGCTACTGTTGGAATGGGTTATGACAAAGAATGGCTGTTCTTGTGTTCTTTTGCAGAGAGGCCCTGGATGAATGGCATCAGAGGAACTACCAGACAAGAATTTAGGAGACTCACTGGGTGTTGGGATAGAATAGAATAGGTCAGCCAGGTTTGTCTTTAAGAACCTGAGGTTTAGCACAGCCCAAGATCTCAGATACCCCTACAAATCTGAGCTGCAGAGACTGGCCTTGAGCCTTATACTGCTTCAATTTGATGGCATTTAGGCATAGAATCTGATGTTTTACTTATGATATCTTGAAAAGTTCTTGCCCATAAATTGTAATGTATGAGTTTTAATTATATATGACAATGATACAGGCTGAGTCCTTCTCCAAAAATGTAATGCTTTCAAACTTTAACAACTTAATACTTGTACAATTTCTAACTATGTTCCAGAACACTGGGTAAACATTCTGTTGTTTCAACAACAAGGTGAAATTATCATATTGTTTACAGTTTTCAGTTTAAAAGGATAATAACAAATTACTAATTATATAATTAAATTATCAACTTAAAAAGAAAGCTGTCATACAGAATTAAACTTTAAATTTGCAAACAAATTTAAGAAAAATGGCAGGATGTTTGTAGGTTCATGTGATCAAGATAATTGCCTAACAGTGCAACTCTGTGTATGTTTACTTGGAAGTAAGCTCCAGTGTCCAGTAGGGCTTACACCCAGGTAACTTTCTATAGGATGACAGTTTTCAATTTTTAGGAATTTCATCTATACCAAAGAGGCCAAATCTGTGTCTTAAAAATAAAACAAAATGAAAATGGCATATTCAGCGTAACATCCTCATTTGGAGGGTTAGAAATCTATAGGCCTAATCCAGTCATAGAGATTCCCTGTCTGACTTGTGGATACTACCACTTGGAGGAATCCCCACTCCTCACTGTGATTGGAGATAACAGCAGTGATTCTGGTGTGGTTATTTCTCTTTGTGGGAGGGCCAACTGTATGAGGGGGAATCCCTGCTGTTATTATTCTGACTGTGGCCACTATCACAGATGATAAAAGTGCAGGCCAGTTCTCTAGCCCTGATCTAGAGGAAAGGAGAAAAACAAGACCATCCGAGTGCAGGCAACAATTCAAAATGGATCTGTTTATTTCCAAATACCATTTTTTCCTTTTTTCCAGTTTTTGACATCATAAAACCTGTATTACAAGAAGTACTATTCCCTTTTTCAGGTCTCATTTTTATAAAGGAGAAGTTAAAAGGCTTCAACTGAGAATTCTTTCCACAATTCACATACCCTAAGAATTAACAGCATGCCAACTTTGTGTTGTTGAGATGAAGTGTGTGGTTTGCACTAAATAATAGATATTTTATGCTAAACGAGTAAAAATTCGTCATGCAGAAAAGCTGGTATCTGAATTAAGTAAGCATTCTATATCCCCTTAGGTTCCATAATTATTATGCTGCAGCTAGTCAAGGAAGGGACAATGAGCTTTTTTGTGGCTCCGAAATCTTATCCCATCATCATTTTAAAATTTTGCTGGATCCCCTTCTTCTTCTGGGTATTTCAGCTTGCTGTGCCTATGTCTCTTATCCATAAGGGCTGGAGAGCAGCCTGAAATTCTCAGAATGCTGAATTCTGCACCCAGGTATAACTTTCTCAGCATTTCTGTGCTTGCATGGAATTGCAGAATATACACACTCCTGTTCATAGATAAGTCTTGTGCGTACCCTTTAGAAGAAGAAAATCCAAGAGGAGACACTTTTTCTTTCCATGGACCTTTAAAGAATTGTGTCCCTTATAGAAACCAGAATAATCTTTCTTCTCTTGCATCACATCACTATGGCTAGGATTAGCCTAATTAGCCAGGGTGACTTATATTGTAAATTCGTTTTATATTTTTAATGTATTATATTTTAATGTTTTGTGAGCCACCCCGAGGCTTCGGCGAATGGGGCAGCATAGAAATTTTCTAAATAAATAAATAAATAAATAAATAGTTTTCAGATCATGACAAGAAAGGTGTTGCATAGATGCAAACAATGCATTTTACTATAGTTAATGAGACTAATTTGCTTATTTTGGTTGAACAATGTTTTAAAGTTGGTTTAACAAACCTAAAATCTGTGTTAAAAATGTTTTGCTTTAATTTTTTCAGTCATTGCTTACACATTATAACCCCCCACCTTTTCAGTTTGTCAGAAAAGTGTCAGTGCCAGCTAACTTTTTTAGCATCATTTATTTTTGAAATTTTCCTTGACGAAACTGCATATTTATTGTGCTTAGGCATTACTAGTGCATTCTCTTTGAGAATTCAACAGACATGCCTTTTGATCATTAATAATGGGATGAATTCTGATTTACATGAACTGTAGTGTAATTTTCATGAAGTGTAATTATTAACTTGCATCCTTGATCCTAAAGACTCTGGCCATGATCCAAGGGTACATGTGTAAAAACATTCCTATGTTAATGGGGCTTTAGAAATAGCCCTAACGTAGAAGAATTTTCGTAAAAGATGGAAAGTAACAAGATACTCTGATTGTTTTATTACAGGCTTGCTGATCTTGTGAGCCAAAATGTTGCCAACCAGATGGCTACAAGGCTGTATTCTGGTTGGTGGGTCACAAGTTGAGCAGGCCTGTTATGTTGTATTTGCAGTATATTAAACCATCCCCCCACATCACAAACACATAAGTGCTGGGCAGTACTAATAATCAAGATTAACATCGTACAGTCCCAAAACCACCTCTGCTTGAGTGTCTGTTTATAGTTTACAGTTCCTTTTTATGTCTGCGCTGTATTATTTTGGATTAAGATCATCCCATGTCTTTTCAAGTTGTTGCTCTGCAAGGTCCCTGTAATTAGCCAGACATCCGATCATAATTTCCTTCATCTGCTAGTGCACAGACTCTACACACTTTTTGCATGTAAAGAAAATTCCTTTACAAATGTACCCTATTTTCTCATTTGTGTAATAGTCACTTCCCAGATATGACTGTCCTTCCTTTTAACTACCAGGCTAAAGCATTATTTATTTATGAAATGTGGAGACAAGTAGGTATCTGATAATTCATAATATGCTACCTTCTGGATTTTTGGAGGGGTTGACACCATTAAGGTACATTATGTGAGTCAAACATGCGTTTCTTCCTAGGGGTCATTTGGCAAGTGCATAAATTCCTCTGCTGTGCTGAACAGTTCCAGACATGGAACCATTTGGGCTCCATGTTGCTTCAAGTGTGTGTTTTCCTAATTAATTTAACTGCTTGGAAGGCTTTCAGGAGCACAATAGAAGAAGGGGAAATAATTCAAGAGAGAGCAACTTTTAGAGATTATTTGGGGAAAATGTAGAGTCAGGATGCTATCTGTAATACTATGCTTTCCCAGTCTCCATGTTTCGATTCATATGCCTCAGATGGGTTCCAGAACAGAGACCATGTTTTTTTTTGTTTCTTTATTTTGAAAGGCCTACAGTATGCAGCCTTTCTCCCGGACAACAGCAAAAATCAAGGTGAACAACTTTTGCACTATGTAGTCTTGAATTTCCTGTTATATTTTCTCTTTCTGTTGTACATTGGGATAGATTAGATAGTTGCTTCTTTAGTTGTCAGGTAATTGTATTAATAATGCTTGTCATCCATGTTCCATGCATTTCTGAAATTGGTGTACACTACATGGCACTGTGGCTGAAATACTTTTTTTTTCTGCTTCCTGGGGAGCTGGAAGTGGTTTCTCACATGTTTTGCCACAAGATGTGAAGTTGCAATGGTTTCCCTTTTATCAGTTATTTTGGGAGTAGAGATGACATCTGGTGGCAGACTTTGCAAATACAGAGGAGGACATCTTTGTACTTTTAGATTTTGAGAAGTTCTTTCTATTAGTACAATACAATCAACCAGATGTTAAACTTAACATACATATCTCCTGTCTTATGCAAGGAAAGTATGTGGCAGATACCCATCTAGTTTCCTGATTCTGCAAAATGTCCCAACACATGTTCAGATTGTAGGCCAGCTTTAAAAAACAAAGATCTTGATTTTTAAAAAAAGAAGATTGGTCTTGAAATTTGTGTTGGGGATACAAAGTATATCAGAAATGAGAGTTTTGTCTGAACTTCACCTTGTTGACATTAGTAGGCATTTTTGATCCCTGTAACTTTACTCCTGAGTTTCTGTCTCTTTATTAAATTGTAATTAAGAATATAACACTCATGCTGGATCAGACCAAATGTCCATCCAGTCCACCACTCTGTACATACAGTGGCAAACCAGCTGCCCATGCATGATGGGCACAAGACCTCCTCCTGCTCAAGCTCCTGAAAAATGGGTATATGCAGGCACACCACCTCTTGTAAATGAGGTAACACAGTCTGCAAGGCTAGTAGCCACTAATAGCCTTCCCCCACAAATTGTTAAGGTAATATTTTAAATGTATGATTTTAATAGGAATTTGACATTACAAATATAAGCCCCCACCCTTGGGAATACAGGCTACTTGAAGTTTTACCCTTATGTTTACTTCTCCTTTTTTAACATAGTCATGCTAAAAAGTTATCGGTTATGAACAAATAATTATTCATAAAGCTTTAGAAATAAGCTTTGAAACACAATGATCAAAATGCTAAAGAAAGTACATTTTCTTCTCTTAACCTGATGATGCATTTGTCAAGAACATGTTTGGGGTATCTTTAACCTAAGCTTCAAAGCCCTTGCAGCTAGTGCTACTCAAGCTAACGATAAAAAGCTCCTTCATCATTGGGAGTATCTGTACCATCCACCCTGAGTTGGAAGATGATACCATTTGTGCTGTGTGGTTTATGGATGAGTGTAAACATGGTTAAATCCCAGTGTATCCAACAGCTAAGCAGAACAGCCTCTGTCTGATCAAAGTCTTTGTACCATTCGAGGGTGAAGTACAGCACTGAGCACATAACGTGAGTTAGCTAAATCCAGTTTAGCTACAAGCTCTTAGCTACAATGCAACAAGACAATGTTGATGCTTATGCCAGTTCCTACTATTATATGAACAATCACATTTGTGATTTGAAAATTTTATCTTCTCATTTGTTTTTATTTCATTAATAGCATCATTTTGACTAAGGTCCCAATTGACCAGGAAGTTTTCCTACAGAAGCCCCAGTGAAATTAATGAGAATTGAATAGATCTTGGTAGTGCTCTAAGGCAGATCCCTTTCATTTCAGTGGGACTAATGCAGAAAGGCTTCCAAGAAGATTTTTCTTGTTCTTCTTTCATTGGTCTTTTTCTACTGATGAACATTCAGCAAACTTATGCAAAGAAGAAGAAGAGTATATAGCATACAAAAGTGATTTAACAATAATATTATTAATCTGGATTTCCAACATAAAATAAGAGTTGCATTGCTTTATTTCTAAAGTACTTTGATCTGAAAGTTCTGTGTGTATAAATTTTGTATAGATTGCTAGGAAGGACCTGATGAAATAAAAACAGAGCAGAAAAAAAAGTAATCACATTTGTTACCTAGAACTGGTGTGAAATTTATTGCATATATCTATTTCAGTAAATAGATATAACTATTGTTTTGCTTTTTAAAAGTATACATACAAAATAAAAAGGTACGGTTGACACTCAGTAATTGCTGCCTGCCAGATGTTTCAGGAGTACATGGGCCACTGCCAGATTTGTGACCAGGTCAAGCCAAAGCAAAGACATTGCCTATGTGAAATGACATTTCCTGCAAAAGCTGACAGTGTGACTCCCACAAGTCACACAACCAAGCACTTTTTGAGTGCCTGCTACTGTGCAAAATCACAACAGCCACATATTAAAGGTGATGATTGTTCACACAAACCACACCTTTCATGAGCAGAAGTTCCAGTGAATGATGTAGTTTACATGATTGCTGGCACTCACTGTGCTGCCTGCCACTGATATGTGCTTACTGTGATATGCAAACACAGGCAAGGGCCATGATGCTGTGGAGAGCAAACCACCCAGATTCTGTGGGCTGCACTAGGGTTCTGGGGTGGCCTGTTAACCATGACATAAATCCACCCTGCCTGAGTTTTGATGGAATTGTAAGCTACAGCAGCTGCCTGCTGCAGTTTGAACATTAACAATTGTGGCTAGCATGTGCCGCAACCCACTTGCTTATTTCAGCTGCAGTAGACACAAGTGATTGTGCAAACTGACCCACTGATGATGTACTTGTGGGTAGCTGGCCATCCAATACCCCCAAGTCATTTAGTTAGCATAAAAGAACGCAAATATTCAGTATTTTTGAATAAAGAAATGTGTGATTTTGTAGTGATTTTCTGAATATAAAATAATAAATTATGAGAACTCAAATTATCTCAGTTTATAACCTAAAGACATGTTACTGGTTCTTAAGGTTTTTTTTTCTTGTAGCTTTAGGAATTGGAATGAGCTCAAAACATTTAGTCACCCCAGCAACTGTAATCCGAGAAGTGCACCCCAGAGCCTCTTGCAGTGTGGCTGAAGATTTGGGTACAGTTCTTGGTTCAAAAGCTGCTTTCTTAACATCCCTAATAATCTTGTCCCCCTAAGCAAACTTTTGGAATACTTCTGCGGTAGAGTTGGCCCCGTTAGAGATACTGGAAACTGCCACTGGAACTTTTATTTCTCTGTTATTAATGGCATAACACCTTGGTCAGAATACAGCAAGTTAGGTGTGCTGAAGCCAGTTTATTTTAGTAGAGGCTTCACAGAGTAGGACTTGGAGTTTTAATGTGACCTTAGCTTGTATACATTCTTTATATTCATTTAAGTAAAACTAAAACATACAGAGATGTTAGCAGTTTTACCCATTGGTTATTTAAATCTCTCTTACTGAAATTATTGGGATGTAAAGATACTTTGTTTTGGTTGGATACCAAGCAAAATCAGGAAACAGAAGTGAATAGAGGTAATTCTTACCTTCTTTTTTATTGTAGTGGGAAACCATATTTTAGGCTTCTTTTACACAATTCCAAACATTTGAAGGACTACAACCTTGACCCAAGACCAAAATTAGATCAAACATTCCAATATTGGGGTTCATTGAAATCATGTTGCAAAAGCTATGTTAAAAACAATAACACACAAAGCTGCTTAACATTGCTATATTCTAGGATTAAAATGTGTTGAAGATAGGTGTGTTGTTCTGCTCTATTTGTATATTCTTGTAAGTTTGGAAATTCTACCCTTCTTGTCTATGTTAGTCTGACTTGCATCCTTTAATTTTCAGGAGTGCTGAGCTCTTGCAAGAACCTCACGTTTGACCTAGTTGGTCAGCTCTGACAGATATTTCTGTTTTACCCTGAATGCCCGTAACATTGTTCAACACATTTCATGGACCAAATAAGAACTTAAAGTGAACCCAATCAGAGCTAAAGCAAACTACAGTGTAGACTACGAAAGCCTGAAAAGTGCTGTCCTTCAGCTAAAGATTTTAAGTTGGCAATTGCATATACTGAATATTTCAGCTGATGTGAGTCTTTTCAAGCTTGGTTTACATCATGCAGCTGTGTAGGTTGCTGCAAAAGGACGGAAATTTTCTGTCTGTATTCAACACAGTATCAACAAAATAGGAGGAGTGTGGCTTGTGCCTATGCACTTTGACTGGAGAAATCAGGATCAGGGAAAGCCACAGCCACTGCTGCCTACTCTAGCCTAAACTCAGCAGCTGTTTTTGAAAAACAGCAGTTTTTCTTTAGGAGAGATCGGCTATAACAGCCTTCCCCAATTTGTGCCTTCCAAACATGCTTGGACTGCAACACCCAGAATTTCCAATCAGTGGCTCTGCTGGATGAAAATTCTGGGAGTTGTGGTCTAAACGCTTCTGAAGGCTGGCACAGAAAATTACAGCTGTTTAGAACAGATTGCACAGCTACAATGGTAACTCTATACCTTTTTTTTCTTTCCAAGAAGAAAAGTAAAGATTCAGGAGGCCAGTTCCCAAAGCCTGTTCTGGACATAGTTCAAAAGAATTCCTTGCATTCCTCAGAATTCCAAGCAGTTGAAGGACTCCCATCCTTCAAGTGAAAGTATTGACCAAGTCTTGGAAAGAATAAAATATATGGTTAGGCATCACAGTTTATTGACCCAATGTGGAGCAAGTGCTCCCATCACCTTCATTCAAAAAGATAAAGGTCACTGTCATTTTTATCTAAGTGCAATATAAAACACATTATGCAAGGCAAGAACTATTGCTTTTACTGAGGTATGGGTGGAGGTATGACATGCATTGTGTTTGTGTTGCTAACAAAACACACTCAAAACAGGGTTTAAAGTCTAGCAGTCATTAGAGGTTAAACTGTAGTGTGTTCAATTATCATTGAATAATCCACAATGGAGGTACAATACTTTAAAATATCTATAATGCCTAACTGTTGCTAGACTTCAAGAATGTGCTTTGTTCATAGCTATTTCAGATATTGACAGAATGTTCTATCAAATTATTTTGTATTTTTTGTAGGACTGGGAGACAGAAACTCATGACTGGTATTGTTTTGAATGCCATTTGCCTGGAGAGGTGTTGATATGTGACCTGTGTTTTCGTGTATATCATTCCAAGTGTTTATCTGATGAGTTCAGGCTTAGAGACAGCAGTAGTCACTGGCAATGCCCAGTTTGCAGGGTGAGTACCTCTGAGCTTTCATGTGCTGAATAGAGGCTTGGTATTTGTTATTTATAGTTTCGAGAAGATGTTTCTGGCCAGAACAAAATATCCAGTTTTGCCTCCTTTGAGAACAATGCAAATCCAAACATATGGTCAAATCTGGATGGGCCAAAGCAAAAATGATAAAAGCCTGCTATCAATGAGCACCTCTTGAGGCAATAAGTTTAAGATCAAACATTTTGTTGATTGACATGGAACATGATGTGCCATAACCTAGAGTTGCAGAATTACCCAAACAAATCCCTTCTCAAACCTGAGATAAATTTACCTCAACAAGACTATCTGTCCCAAGTGCAGGAGTTCTGTGCCGAATCCTGCCCTCCCCTACCCTCTTTGCCCTATTCAATGCAAAGCACACTGCCTGTGGGATCACAGTCCCATTTCCTTCAGGGCCTCCTCACATGCATCATCAGAGCACACATTAAACTGTGATTCAGAGCCATTTTCTCTCCTACATTTGCCTGGATGTTTGGTCCTTCTGCATTTGTCCAACTATATCTAGTTATGCCTGATTCTATCAACACACAAATGACATGAACTAAATATAGAAAGAATTGTAAACACTCTGCACATATTTGCATGAGTATTTTAGCACTTTCCTCTGAGCTTTGCTGTTTGTAAATGCTATTTAATATTCTGTGTTGTAATCCACCAAAAAAAATTTAAAACCATACATTGATTATGCACACATTCCTAGAATTTCCATCTAGCAAGGTGCTGTTCATTCAGAAATTTCCTCCTTTGTATCACTACCTTGAAATACCAATACCAGAGTCTGTTATCTTCAGTTTTTTCCCAGTAAGTCATAGATGGGGTGGAGAGGTATGCCGAGGGAGGGAGGAGGGAGATAGAAAATGGGAAATGCACATTGGCAAAGGCCAATTTATTAGGCAAATAGGGTTTTGCCCTTCTGATTTTCCCTTCTACTACTTTGCCACATAGCATACTAAACTGTGCTAGAGGATGTGTTGAAAAGTGTGGGATTGTGAATGAACAATTGATCAGTATAACTTTTTGCGTAGGGAGCATCAGCTTGCTTTAAAGCAAGTATAGGAGTTTGTTGGTTTAACAAAAAAAGGAAGTTCGATTTATTTTTGTAGTTTAAAGTACATAAAGTGCATCATAGTGCAGCTATAATTTTGAAGAAGGGGTAGGGGATAGGGTAAGCCTGAGGTTCCCATTGGCCTCTGCTAGAAGGAAGGGGCTTGTTCCTGTATTATTGCTTTTCTCTAGTTCCGTATTTTATCCTGGAGCAAAGAGATTCCCATATTTCCCCATTCCTTGGTCATCTCCTGCTTTGACTTACTGGCCATGCTTCCTTTGCCTTGCTCATGCATAGCCTTGCTTATATGAGGAAGCTTCCTTCTTGATCAAGGAACCAGGCAAACTGCCCACAGCCTCTGCAATGGGCTGCCACTTGCCAGGTGACTTCTGTCCCACCAGTTCTTCCATCCTCTTCAACTACCTTCTGTTTGGTTATCGTTCCCCCCACAGCCCACCCACAATTCCCACCCTGGTTATTTTGCCCGAGTAAATGTACAATAGACAACTGAACCACAGAGTTGTTGGACATCTTGATTACAACCCCCAGTACCAATTGTGCCAAAGAAGCATTTCCATTCAGATTTATTTATTTATTTAATTTCTATACTGCTCAGTGCTCTTTTGTGTCAAACTTCTGGTTTTCCTGAAGTAGCTGTCAGCACCAAACCACGTTTTAGGAAAGGAGACTAAACAACTGCCTGTGGTTCGACACTGCAAATCTTTTAGTGAAACAGATTTGAAATCCCATCTATGCAAATTATATTGGCTCTTTGGGTCAAAGCTATCTTTTCTAGGCAATTACAGCGTAAGTTTAGGAGTACCACACATTATCCTCCAGATTTCATTGCCATCAGGCTACAAACTTTTCTCTTCTGAAATGGTGTTGGGGCCCTGTAAGAAAAAACCATTTGGCAAAAAAATTCTATATAAGATGCTCCACTAGTCATTTGGCATCCTGCCTAAAACTGGCCAGCTGCATCTCCTAATGTTGGTGTCCTAGTATGTATGCCAGCTGTGAAGCAACAAGCATATAATATCAAGCTTTACTTACTGGTGGCAAATACCAGTCGCTACTCAGCAGAGGAACAGCTGGTGCAGACAGATTTGAACACTGGTTTATTGATGCTGAAATTTGCAGGTGTGAGTTTTACATTACAGACAAGTGGCTTTTGGGAACTCTGAAATGCTTGCTTCACTTTAGGGTTGGGTGCATATTTTCCTCCGGATGTCATCAGACTACAAGCTCTTTTTTTTTTTTTTTTTTTGAAAAACCAACATCTAGTCTGTTTCATATCATTCCTGTTCCTTTAGATAGGAGGCAGAGGCATTTGTATGTCTAAATGAGCCTGCTACATGTTCTTCTATCATGCACAAACTTTTCCTCTCTGAGTTGCCACTGCTATGAAGGATTGATTTGGGGATTAATGAAATAGAGGTCATTGTTTAGCCAGCAGCAGAAAGGTTCCTTAGGCATCTTAAACAGGTAGTAAATAATTTGGGGTAGCTTTGCTCCTGATGTGCACACACACACTCTCTCACACATGCTTTTCTGCAGTTCAGAGTATTTGCACAGCAGATGGAAGTTGGGCCAAATAGACATGATCATGAGAGGCCTGTATGTCAGGAAGGGTTGTCACATAATTGCTACGAAGTGGAGGGAAACAATCTAAAACATGTTTGGGATGGGTCATAGCTCTTTGTCCACCATACTTTTTCTTCACTAAGATCCCACTGTTTTTTCCTGGTGAAATTCCAAGGTCAGAAATATATTCCATTTGGATGAAAAACAGCTATGGAGAAACAGTTTGGAGGTGAAGTGGAAGTAGAAGAAAAAGTTCATCGCTGCTTTTACCCCTCATGCTTTTTAAACACTGCCCTCCTCCACTATTTGGTATGAATTCAGCATCAACCATACATAGATGGTTGTCTCTTCTACCATGGCCATGGGTTGATAGGGTAGAGGTGGGAGTATATTTTTTCCCTTAGTGCCCTGGAGATATAGGACCCTCAGTAAACAAATGGATGATTGATCTAATAAACAAAGATACTGTTTTCATGCTGTTTGTCTGCCATTTGCAGACTGTATTTATCTATGGTGTTTTTCACTTCTTTCCAAAGTAATTCTACTAGTGGACTTCAAAATCAATCCACTTTTTCTCATGACTTCTTAGTAGTGCCAGGATATTGTATGTGAGCTATATGTTGCCCGCAGTCACACAGGAGTCTATACCATGTGCCTGGTCTCATGCCAATCCCAGCAGCATTTGAAGTTGATCAGATGTACCAGTACTGACATAGGAAGTAGTCACAATGTCAACACTTTGTATTTGATTTGGTTCAGAGGAAACAAAGGAAGCTCCCTTATACCAGGTCAGACTATTTGTCTGTCTGACCTAATATTGTGGATTCTGAATGTATGGCAGCAGCTGTCAAGTGGATTTTGCTACCTGATCCATCATTTGCTACCTGATCCTTTTAACTAGTGGTGCCAGTTATTGGACCTGGGGTGTTGTACATGGATTCCTTTAATTGATACAGCAGTTGTGATGCTGCCTTCTTGCTAAGGTGACTCATGAGTGAATAATGTAGCACAGAGACCACCTCTGTAGCTCTCTGTCCAAAGAACGCTATTCTGGCATGTGAATCAAATGATCGATGCCTTGGCCATCTCATCTCTTGTAGTCTTTCATGTTTACATACTTCCTAAAAATGGGAATGTCTGAATGTAGAAGGGATGAGATTCTCACTAGAGAAGGGTATGGCATACACAAATATTTCTATCTGTTCTAACTTCCAGACTTTGCATTTACCAGTAATTTATGACAATCTTGTCTCTTAATTGCCATGACTGATTAATGGCTTTCTTTTTTAAAAAGAGATCCAGAAACCTGTAAAGTAAGCACTTGGGGGTTTTTTGAGAAACCTGGATGCAGTCCAAAGAATACAAAGGAGCTTAATGATCCTGTATAAAAGGAGCTAGCTTTTATTTGCATTATCATCAATAAATACTTGCAAAAATTATAACTCATCAATTCTCCAAAATGTTATCATAATAAGATGTATCACCTTCCAACTGGAGATCCTGAAGCTGTAGAATCAACTGGGGGCTGCATTTTCTTGGGTGAATGATCCAATAATAGTTCATCTATAGATCCCAAGGTCACCAAAGAATTTGCTTGAACCAAGACATTCATCTGTTGACAATAGGAGTAGAGGCTAAAAGGAATATTATACAGGACTTTTTCATACTTTAAGTTACTGTATTACTTGACAGATTATAAGGAGCAATTTCTGAGATACTCTGAAATCAAAATATGGTTCATCACTGACACTATTATGTTGTTGTCCATGAATGTAAAACTACTGGAAGTCAGGACTACACATATTTAATTGGGATGATATGGGGGTTTTCAGCACAGATGTGGCAATTGAAATTAATCTGATGGTAAGAACTGTTTGAGTATTGTTGAGAATCTTAAACCCAGTGGACAGATTGCATTTAGCTAACCTCAAAAACAGTTGGGTGTTTGGATTTATCTTCTCTCCAAGTTCAAAAGACCCTTCTTGGACAAGCCATCTTGTTGAATCATTAAAGGCCATTTTTTAAAATCATGTTACAGTAAAAAAGATGAGGAATGTATTTGTTCACTGTTAATTGGCATGGCATTCTTTGAACAATTTAATGTATATTTGGAAATACATATTTCTGTTGCTTTGGTGCTTGAAAAATATACGTACAAGATAGGTCCTGATGGATTGGCTTCTGGAGATACTGCTGGAAGAATCACATATAATTGTGTTTGCTCCAGGCAGTTTGCCATTAGCTGTGTAGTACATGCTGAACCAGGTATATTTTTTCAAATGTGTGAGCAGTGCAATAAAGTTCTCTAGGAGTGCTCTGCCTTCTACTGACAGGCTCTTAACTTCAAACTTTGTGATTGTTTTACTTCTGTCGTGTCTGATAGTAGCTTTGAACAGTATTGCTCATTACAGTGCCAAAGTACCATAGGCTTTTGCAAACCTTAATGGGGTTTGCCAGCTAATACCAATGTAATTCTCCAGTACTACTGCATTTCTCAAGGAGGCGTACTTACAAAATTCTTCCCCGTTGTATTTTAATTTGTATTCTGGGATTTTGAATTATTAGAACCAGAGCAGGGCTCTATGAGAATTTTGTTTTTGCTCACAAAATATGTGAGCATGCCTTGTTAAAACACTTCATGTGATCATGCATGCAGGCATGTGTCCATTGAAAATGTTTGTACCTTGCTAGGCATATGTTTACATTGAACTTGTGCAACTTTCTTCATTCAAATTTGCACAGATTTCATATTCCGTCACCACTAGAGATGGCCAGTTTTTCCATTTGCACAAAGTAAGCAGAAGTCACAAACATGAGCAGGAACTGGACAAGTGGTGAGGGAATCCCAGCAGTCTTGAGCATTGCCCATTTACCCATCTCTAAACACTGATGATAATAATAGGGTGAATTCACAGTACTTCGTGTTTCTTATTTGTGGTCAGAAAAAAATAAAACCAGCATTCAAAGAATGCTGGAAAATCTGTGAGATTGTCCTGGCCTCACTACAGAAAAGCCCAGTCTCTGTGTCTGTGTTACCTTGTCAAGAATTGTCAGTTTCAGTCCAGGGGTCAAGACTGTATGGTTAGCACACATCCAAAGTTCCAAGTCAGGTGGCAGTGTCTAAAAAATGTCCAATAAGCAGTCCAGGAACCTAGATACCAGTTCACATCAACAAAGTCCAGGAACACAGATAATGCTGCTTGTTGTTTGCAACACAGAGCAGCTCTGCCTGAACTAATTTATAGCCAGCTGTAACTCAGCACAACCGGCTAATTAAGTCAGCGTGCTGTTTCACGGAAACCTCCCCTTTCAGAGTATTTGGATTTCTGCCGAAGCCGTGCACTCCTCCTCCTTTTTATGGGGTGGATTCCCTTTGTGTCTGATTTCTGCTCTTGTGGAACCACAGGGAGTGCCCCTGAAGGTCCTGGCTCCTCTTCTAATGGAGGGCAGTCATCTGCAGCCACGACCTCTGTGTCTGATTGTGGCTGCAGCTCACTGCTCTGGCTTTCTTCGTCTGAGGAATCCTCCTCCAGGTAGGACATGACAGAAGTTGAAAGTTAGAAAATCGGTTGTGCATTATTAATAGCTCGAGATGGTTACCAAACAAGTGATCTCATGTTGCATCTTGCTCAGTTTAAGGCCAAAGTTACTGCCAGTGGTAGCAACACATTGGATCTGATTTTTTTTATTACATGGGCTTCATTGGACCTATTAAAGAATAGTAGGTTAGGATCATAGCCAATATACCGAACAGCTTGCATGCATTAAAAACCTATATCGGAAATGGTGATTAGGAAAGCCATACTAAGCATATACAACAAAGTTGCTGGATTTCAGACACTCTTTTGATTTCATGTTTTCTGTTCCTCTGGTTTTGTTTCTTTGTTTGATAATATGAGATATGTCTCTTCATGTATCGTATAGTACAGGGGTGGCAGCAAAGCTCTGTACTTCAAAAGGAAAGCAGAAACTTTTGTATTTCTAAGTCTGGATTGGATTCCAAACAAAACTGCTACTACAAATTTTTCAAAGTGATGATACTTCAACATTTCTAAATAACTCAATAATTTAACTTATTTAGCACAATAAAGGGGCCTACATATGCAGGTTTTTCTATTCTCATCTCTAGGGCTGTGTAATCTTCATTTCTCACACAGCGTTTTGCTCTTCCAAACAAAAATAGAAAGTGCCATTGCCATATCCATTGAATGAAGTTTAGCCGGCATAGCTTAAACTATGCTGATTAACAGGAACAGAGGAGAACCAGTCACTCTTAAGCATTTCTGCTTCTTAGAAAGAGTAATTCAGGGCTATTATCTTCCTGCTGCAGTGCTTCTGATTTCTAGACCTGGTGACTACTTCTTATGATAACATGGTGAACTGCCATGTACTGCTTGCTTTTGGGACTTTGTAGGGCCTTCTGCTCTCTCCTCCTTTTTCTGCTGTTGTCACTTCATTGTCTTCCTATCCCCCCTTTTTGTACTTTTCACTAAATGGTAACCATGCTTCAATTAGCTGCTTTCCTGCCCATAAACTAATTAGGATCACTCCACTGCAGAATATCATTGTAGTCTCTCTAAAGGTGGAATTTGGTAAGCCACTGTTTTAGCCTTTTCCTTAAACTGTATAATAGCAAGTTAACCCATTTCAGTGTTTTGAGGCAATGAAAGTCATGTTTGGATATTTTATGCATGAATATGCCAATCCTAAGTAAGTTTACGTAGACATCAGTCCTGTAGGTTTCAGCAAATGTACAGTTTCAATTAACTTTTGCTCATGTAAGTGTACTTTGGAATGGAATAGCAGCCTGAGGGTGTCATTCAAGCAATTTATACAATAGCCATTAAACTCATCGTAATTTTAGCGCTCTCTCTAGAATATCTTTCTTTGGATTTTGATTTTAAGTTATGAGATTTGGTGACCCATAGTGCAGCAGGATCAGTCCTGCAAAGAGTCTTATCAGCAATTCTGTACTTGTATATCATGCTGTTTTCACTATTAGTCCTTCACAATTGGCAAGAAAAAAAATTCATGGACTAATGTGCTATTTTTGTGGGAATTTTTAATCACCTGTGTATTGTAAAATATCGGCACAGTTACTAAAAATCAAAATTTTGAAATAAAAATGCTGTTTTTCCCCCAGAGCATTAAGAAGAAGAATACAAGCAAGCAAGAGATGAGCACATATTTGCGCTTCATTGTCTCTCGTATGAAGGAACGAGTGAGTGTTAAAACATAATGCCCAATTGTTTTATGTAACAAAGCACTAGATTGAGGAATTGTTTCAGTTTGCAAATAGGACTATGAGCAATAACTATCTATATATTCTATTGGTATCTTTAAAGTCATTGCTGAATTAGGAGTCAAGATGAATCAGCAGTGGCTTTCCTTTGGTCTTCCTCTTTTCCTGCCTACTGTGCTGAAATACTGTTTGATCCACCAAGAAGGAGCTGGGGAAAGTAAAAAAAAATGTGAGAAAAATATTGTTGCCTCATCTATGAGTTCAGCTGCAAAAGTGCAAGGGAAACACCAGGTTGCAGCCTGACAACTCTATCTAGAATGAGCTCTGAATAAATTTCTTCTATAAATTATATTTTATTTGGCAGGCTGTTATGGTTTTGACATGCTTGAGCACCTGCTGGCAGATAAGCGGAGTGCTTTCCTGTTGATAATTGGAGGTGGTTCGGATGCAATGGCTGTCTAAAACTGGTCATGCCTATGACCTGGACCCCTCTGTATCTGGTATATATGTGTGAACATGAATTCTGGATTCTTGTGTGTGTTCCTTCTGTTTTAACAGTACCCTATCCTTGCTGATGTTTCCAAGAAGAACTGAAAAAAAAATGAAATTAGCAGAATTTTACTGCATTTTTTTGATTTTTGTTTTGAATTTCAACATGATCAGATTTTGTTTCAAAAAACAATTGTGAATTCAGATTGGAGTATTAAAATGCAACTTTGGATTAAGTCTTATTGATGAGTTTTAAAGCAATTATTGAGGTCTCAATTTGTCATACTCAATTTTGATGCAAAGTTATTTTTGTACAGTGCATTGTGCACTAATTTCTGTGTACCTTTCCTACTTTCTCGAAAGGTACCATATAATATTTAAAAGGTAAGTATTTTAGTAGAATATCTAAATTGATATCTCTCAGTACCCATGCCTGGGATTTTGCAGAAGAATTAGATTCAGAAAATGTAAACTTTTAATTTTTGCATGCAAATTCAAGGTAGCAGAATTTACTTAAAAATTGCTTCCCTGGTTTGTTTCAAACTTAAATGTATTTTATTTATTTTGTGGGGGTCTCACCACTCAAAGTTCTGAACATGAAAGAAACATGCTATAGTTTTTGTTCCTTGATTATAGTATCCAGATGTTATTAAGAACAGACTTATGAGATGCCCCCAGTTTCTATGCAATAGAGTTTTTTGCTTCGAAAGATGTGGAAACATTCATTTATAGACTGTACAATTTTACCTGTAAGTTGGATGTGCTTTTGTCCTTTTATCTGAAAACTTCTCAGTTATTTTAATGGTTTGCCTTTAGAAGACATCTTTCTTCTACAACACCGATGGTTTCTAAACTGGTACTTTGCTGTGCTTTTAGGCTATTGATCTAAACAAGAAAGGAAAGGACAGCAAACACCCCATGTATCGTAGACTGGTACACACAGCCGTTGATGTTCCAACTATACAAGAGGTATGTTCCCTTATATCTCTAGGAATCATCTGGTTTTCTCTTTTCAAAAGATGAATGGTATAGAAAGGTCTACCTAGACGTATATACACATACATGCATGCAGTGCTCAAATTCCAAAACGGTCCACTCTGGGAGATCCATACTGGGAAATCATGTACCAGTAAACTCTGTCTTAGGTAGTCTTCATATATTTATTAGGCAGAGGTTAGTGTGCTACTGAGCCTTTGTGTAGTTGCAGTTATTGGACTTTCATGTTGAAAACTGTAGTACAGAAATGATTGATATATGTGCCTAAATCTGATTGGTTTGTAGTTCTAATTCATATTTTGCTGATTTTCTTCCGTTCTTTGAAGAAAGTAAATGAAGGAAAGTACAGGAGTTATGAGGAGTTCAAAGCTGATGCTCAGTTGCTTGTACACAACACAGTGATTTTTTATGGAGGTAAGTGAGGATAAATTGGAGTAAATCCATTACTGGGTCTTCAGTGGTCCACACATTTTTAAAATGACTTTGAGCATATGATAGGTTATAAAATAGAGGACTGAGATGAAATCCACCTTACTTTAACTTTTGTTTCTTCCTGTTTTCAGGCACCCCTGTGCCTTAATTTTCATTGAGTCCATTTCACTTCCAAGTACTCTGAAAGAAGTTACCTGGCTTTGAGGATCTGGACATTCCCTGAGCCAGTCAGACCATGCTGTTCCCAGCTTCATCCCAAGAGAGACCGATGGTCCAAAATGTTCACAAAATTTTGCACAAAATTCCCAACCTGACCCACCCAGAATTCAGTTTCTGCCATCTGTTATATAACTTGTGCAAATCCTTCCTATGAACATGTGGATTGGGGATGGGGTTGGACCATAGAGGGCTTCTGACCACACTGCTATTTCAGCTAAGATGACCCTGTGCTGTCAGGCATGTGCCATTAGAGTTTTGCTAAGATGCCTGTTTTAAAAAGTTCCACATTATGCAAACAGCAATATTAGATGTGAAAATCGATGTAATAGTCAGCTCAGCCCTGCTTCCAAATCTGAATATTTTGCTGTATTCTTTGGCTTTGCCACCTCTCTGTATTCTCTCTGTGTGTGTCATTATGTATGTATGTAGAAGGGGTGATTGTTGGCAGAACCATGAAGAGATCAAAAACAAAAACTCCAAAATAAAAAACCTGCCAGCTGAGCTTATTTTCTACCAACATTTTCACAGATTGGCCTGGTCAGTCCAGATTACAGCATTTCACATCCTAGGCCCCATTTTAGTATCATGTGAATTTGATCATCAGACGCCCTGTTCCAGGTCATTGATGAAAAGAATGAACAGGATCGGTCCCAGGACAGAGCCCTGGGAGACCCCATTCGTCAGGAGGATGGACTGGGGTATGACTGGGTTTATACGTCACAACAGACCAATGATGGTTAAAAAATACCCCTTCCCATGGCTTGTTGTGTCATCTGAACCCAGCCTGTGTAAAATGCCAAATATATTGTGACATATACCTATATCTACCACATGTTCCAAACTTTTCCTTCATATTAAACATGCTTGCTCTTAGGAATGCTGGCATAGCCATGCAGGTATGGTTAACCCAAGAAGTGTTGAAACGCTCCGGACATCAAAATAAAAAATATATTGATCTGTACCTTAAATCTCAGGCCTTCAAGATGACAAAATATTAGTACTATTTTTATGCCAAAAAGTTTGGTATGGATACTTAGTAGTCTGTGGCTTTTAATTGCAGTGGACAGTGAGCAAGCTGATATAGCCAGGATGCTTTACAAAGATACCTGTCATGAGGTAAGTAATAGCCAGCAAGTTGGTTGCTGAGCACTACCATTTGGTATAAAGAGGCATATCAGTCTCCATTGGCCAGTAGTTAGTCTTGTAAGTTGTCCTGGAAATGAGGAAAACATTTTGCTGCAGTTGATTCATCATTGATGCCTAAAAGTATGCATTTTGTGAAAATTTTAACTTTTAATAACATGCCACGTCTTAGCAAGCTTGCCTCTTATTTTTTCTTCCTATTTTCCCATTTGTGGACTCCAAATCACTTTCATTTGCTGAAGTAGCTAGGCTTTAGAAATCAAGCAAACAGAAACTGAAAAATTAAATCTATTTTTAACTGCCGTTCTACTTTGTGAGATGTAGTTGACTGGTTAATGAAAAGAGAGTAAGAAATTAGAAATGAAGTTTTTACTTCTGGTTACTGCAGTTGCACCCATTTACATCAGAATTGTTTGTCATTTTCTAACTCAAAACTGAAGCTGCTTTCTGAAGTGGGGACATCTAAATTGTGATGAAGATACCTGTCACATTTAAATTTCCATAGTTAGATTATTCTGGGCATTTGGAAAATACTGTAAGTATGCAAATTATTGTCCTATATGATATAGTTAAAGGGATTTTAGTTTCATCCTTGAAGTAAGAAAGAGTTGTAAGGCTTAGCTTTCCATAACAAGTCTTATTTTGCAAAGACAAAAAGCCAACATGAAAATCCTGTGCAAATATCTTACACTTTTAGAGTAGCTGTGATAATTCTTTTTAATGTCATAGAATGCATTATTGAGGATGACAACATTTTTTTCTTTTAGTTGGATGAACTTCAGCTTTGCAAGAACTGTTTTTATTTATCAAATGCACGTCCAGACAATTGGTTCTGCTATCCTTGCGTAAGTTTGTTTCTTCATATTCTTTCATCAAACATTTACAATTGACATATGGAACTCACAGGATATGGTGACAGTGGGTAGCTTGGATGACTTTTTAAAAGCGTTAGTCAGATTCATAGAAGATAGATCTATCAGAGGATATAAGCCATGATTCTTAAAAGAAATATCCTTGTACAGAAGCCATACATCTCTGAATATCAGTTGTAAGAAACAATTGAGCGTTTGAATGTACTAGTTTAAAGTCCATTTGAGCCCAATTTAGCTAGTCTGGATAACTTGCACATCCTGAGTACACACAGCTACAAAAGAGCAGGGTTACCATAAATGTTCATTATATGTGCAACATAGTTCTTAAAGTGGTGTTCTTTAAGCTAACAACCTAATCCTCAGTCTTGCTGTGCTGGCACATGCATGATTAGGTATAATGAAGGTACTGCCAGCACAGCATCCTAAAAGACAGTGTTGATACTGGTGTCAAACAGTTCAAAGTGTTTAGTATTGGGATTCCTATTATGTTTACCTGTTCAGACATAGTTAAATACCAATATCTGTAAATATTATTTTGATAACATGAAAGTAGTATTTTATATATTAGCATCCAAAATCTTTTTGTAACTGTAACATGCTTCTTTAATTTCCAGATACCCAATCATGAGCTGGTTTGGGCTAAAATGAAAGGGTTCGGATTCTGGCCTGCCAAAGTCATGCAAAAAGAGGACAATCAGGTTGATGTTCGCTTTTTTGGCCATCACCACCAAAGGTATTTTCATACCTGCCACTTCTCGGGCTTATATTTCATTTCTTAGGCTCAGTCAAAATAATAAAAAACTCCTTATGCTCACATAATTATAGAATATATATGGGAAAATGTGGTATAACTCACAAGAGTTCCCCTTTGAAAATTTCAGAGGATGCTCTCTAATGGATGGTATGAAGACTGCTTACATCTTAATAAAAGAACAGTAGTTATACTTGAGATCATATTGGACACATGCAGCCTCAAATGTCTTGAGGTTTGCACCCTAAAGTTAGCCTTACTCCTTTTAAAACTGGCCAGACTCGCATCAAGAAATGTATAACACACAAGCGTGCTTAAATGTGTCATTTCACTTACACTGAGCAGGGCCTGGATCCCCTCAGAAAACATTCAAGACATCACAGTTAATATACATCGACTGCATGTAAAGCGCAGCATGGGCTGGAAAAAAGCATGTGATGAACTAGAACTACACCAACGTTTCCTTCGGGATGGCAGGTTCTGGAAATCAAAGAATGAGGATAAAGGAGAGGAGGAAGCAGAATCTAGCATCTCTTCCACTAGCAATGAACAGGTGAGTGGTCCTGCAAAGTCACACCTACTGGTATAGCTGAGTTGCAGACAATTACATAAAACTAAGCTGGGGGTTTTTTATGCTTTTTGTTAGCAGGGTTAAAGATATCCCTCTTTTGAATAAATAGATAAATTCTGCACAAGAGCCTACTGCACAGAAAGTCCATACTAGATTATACTAATAATGTATTATAAGATTCTGTCTCTCAAATAATTTGAATGAGGCATACAAAGAAAATGTATACAGAATGAATATTAGGTAAATTAGGGTTTATATCTAGGGTTTATACCTTTGTTTTTATATATCCCATTTTATTCAGTACTGCTGCTATGCTTCTGTGCTGAACATTTGCAATTACGATTGTGATTATGGTTTTGTTCCTTTAAATTATTGTGTGCTTGTGTGTGTTTTTAACTTTTGTTTAATTTTAACTTTTGTTTACCACCCAGAAATCCTTGGCTATTGGGCAGTACAAAATCAAATCAAATAAATAAATAATAAAGCCACATGCTACAAACCCTTGCATCTAAAGTAAGGGAGTCCTGTTTAGTCCATGGGTCAAATTCCGATTTCAGGAAGTCCTGAGAAACTGCATTCCTACTCTGGACCAGTCAAACACAGAGCTGGCAGGACCAGAATGTGATTGTTCTAAATCTGAGGCCCACTCAGAAATAAGCAGGACAAACCTCTGCCTATCTGCTCAGAAATAAGTATGGCTAAAACTCTCAGTATCAGTTTGAATTAGTGTTTCAGATACAAAATTCATGCATGTGTACTCAGAAGCAAGCAGAGTAAGATTTGGGGGTAAGATTTTTTTCCCTGCTTGGAGAAGGGGAAGCAGCTGGAAGAATAGATGGAGGTTTTCTTACTGTTTTAAAACTAAATAATTTTGATGAAAACAAATTTTGTGGGGGTTTAAATGTCCTTTAACCAAGGTGTTGTGCTTGAAGTCTGATTCCTGCAAGATTCAGACACCATCTGTGGGTATTGGATTTTTTATTTGTTTGGCTTGATTTTGCACTTTTGGCATCATTAATAGATGAAAGTGGATGGTTTGTAATATGGCAATAATACCTAGTCTGCCTGGTTTTTCCAGATTTATTTTATATCCAAGTTTGAATGTGTCTCCATTCTGCTATCTGGGGAAGAAGTTCGAAGTCTCTTGAGATGGGATTTCTCAGATTCTCTGAAAGCTCACGGATATTTGATAGCTTAATGGATAAGGCACTGTTACCCTTACAATTGAATTATATCCCCATGGTTCATGTGTACTAATTTATGTACATTTTGTCCTTTTTTGGAACCTTGGGAGTTTGGCATTTAGCGTTGCATTGCAACATTCACAAGAATATACAGAGATAACTTGATTGATACCAGTAGGCATTTATGCTGTAGATTGCGTTTTTATAACAGTCATTTTGGTTTTGTTGCAAAAAGCAGTGATTGTTTTATTACCAATTCTGAAGTAGTGTTTTATGGCATTTGGATTAATGCTATATTATTTCTTCATCAATATCCCCAGCTAAAGGTTACTCAGGAACCAAGAGCAAAGAAGGGAAGACGTAATCAAAGTGTGGAACCCAAAAAGGAAGTAAGGAACAGCATAACATTTGGTGCATGCACCTGTGGATAAGGCAGAACAAACTTGCAAGAGGCATCTTTTCTTTCTTATCATTCGCTAATTCAGTTTATGCATTAGTATCACTGAATGTGTGAATGTCAGAAAATTGATCGCCATTTCTTAACGAGTGCATACGAATTGGTGGTGTTAACCACAGTGCCAGCTTTGACAGGTTCCTTTACCAAAGTACTGCTTCAATTTGTCTTACATATTGGTTCAAATTGGAACTTTTTAATACACTTTGGTGTCAATAAAACATGCTGACATTTAATTAGGGATTGACTGCAAAAAAAGGAACTTCCTCTGTCAGTTAAGTGACCAGAAAGCAAAATTCCATTATTTAATCGTCTGTGCTCTGGTACAGAAGTAACCTTGTCATCCTTCACCATAATTATGAGGTAGAGAGCAGGCCATAGGCACTTGCACTCCCTTCTGACTTCTCCAGTGTGACTTCCCCTTGCTTCCCTTTTTGTCTTAACCATGGTTTAGCATTCTATCTGCACCAGCTCTAGCCATGGTTAACCAGGGTTCCCATCTTAACCAGAGTTTGAAACCAGGGTTTTGACCAGGTTTGCAAAGGGAAGAACAGAGGGTACACAAGCCTGCAACCTGCCCCTTATCTCCTAACTATGGTTAAGATATTGGCAGTGATGAGCGTAGATGTGTATTAGATGTGCATTTGTATGCATGCATTAATTATCCACTAAACTCTTGAGCAGTTACTCATTTCTATGCGGCCAAAGTGAGAAATACCTAGCTTTCCATTCTGTAAGATTGCTTGCTATTATTGTATAGTAATATGACATGTTAGTTCATGCCTGCCCTAGATGTGATTTCTTCCCATCCTAATCAGGTAGTTAGAAATCACTGGCATGGTCATTGGAGTAAATCTGGTAGCGCTGTAATCTTCAGAGGGCACTGCAGGGATATGTCTATAGGCAATTTATACATTGCTTCAGTGTGTTCCAGTCTTTATCTGTACTCAGATGAGTATGGTCATCTTCACTTGCCATTAAAATGAGACATTTTGTCGGTTCTTCCTAGGAGCCAGAGCCTGAAACTGAAGCAGTTAGCTCAAGCCAGGAAATTCCCACAATGCCTCAACCCATTGAAAAAGTTTCAGTCTCAACCCAAACCAAGAAATTAAGTGCCTCTTCTCCAAAAATGCTGCATCGTAGCACCCAGACCAATAATGATGGAGTGTGTCAAAACATGTGCCATGACAAATACACCAAAATCTTCAGCGACTTCAAAGAAAGAATCAAGGCTGATCATAAGAGGGAGACTGAGAGGGTTGTACGAGAAGCTATAGAAAAGGTAACTCTAACTGCAAGAAAGGATTTGGCACGAAACAAATTGTGATTATGCAGCCCCATTGATCTTGGCACTAAAATCAGACAGGGGGTGCTGTCCTTTCAGGACATAGGAATAACTTCTGGTCAATCACTTTTCAGGATAACTCTTCTAAAGTGGGAAGTGTTAGATAAGGCGGACGACCTGCTGCAAGGATATTTTGCCTTGAGAGTGTGCCCTATAGAGAAAGGGAACTGCACAGGAAGCCACATTAAGGAAAATAGTAGAATGTAAGCTGTTCAGCTAGAAAGGCTCCCAGTTTAGATCTGTTTCAGCCATGCGCTAGGTGATCTTAGGCAAATCTCAGCTCCCACACTTCCATATAAGTAATAACAACCAAAAATAAGTTAACTTTGTGTCTGATGGAAGGTCTCTTCAAATGTATTAGTACAGATTTAGCTTAGGAATAGAAGGAAGTGGAAGCAGGGATGTCCAGAAAAGAATGATCTTTGAGGGTGTTTGAACTGAACTAAACCAGAAGTAAAAAGATAGTTCCAAATCTTCAAAGAAATGTGCTGTGATTTTTAATCCTGTGCAAGATGTTACAAAATTATTATATAGCTGTCTTCTCAATCAGAATTTCATTATTTTTCTACAAGTGTGCATGCACTCACTTGAGTCACTCACTTGATGTTGAAGAGCGAAGTGCTCTGCAAAAGGAAACTGGTGTTTAAAGGTGAAACATAGAAACTGAGCAAGTTAGAAGGGGTCTCCCAGGCCATCTGGTCTGACCCCTGGCTCCAGCCAGCTCTGCTCATGACATGCCTACCATGTGCATGTCTAGCCTATCCTTGAACACCCTCACCGATGGGGCCTCAACATCTGTAATGCAACATACACCCTCTGGGTGCATTATAGATGCTGAAATCATAGCTGTACAGTTGCTTGCATTTCAGGTTACACAGATCAGGTGTACACCTGACATGAAGTTATTTAGTACATTTGCTCCAGCACAGACACAGCTTGGGGGAATATCAAAGAGTTTTTGTCAGGACTGGGTCAAGGGAACAGTGGCAACCAGCTTGGAAAGCATCCAATTTACAATTAAAATCAACTGTGGTGGTAGATTATATATTATGTAGTGATTTTTTTGGACTTTCATTCATTCACTGGCTTCTTTTATCCAAGCTCCGTACAGAAATGGAAGAGGAAAAAAGGCAGGCTGTGAACAAAGCTGTGGCAAATATGCAGACAGAGTGTGACAGGAAAACAAAACAGGTGAAGGAGAAGTGCAAAGAGGAATTTTTAGAAGAAGTTAAGAAGCTAGCCAGCCAGCACAAGCAGCTGATTTCCCAGACCAAGAAGAAGCAGTGGGTAAGCAGCACTAGCTATAAATCCCTAACTCTGGTGTGTGCTGGCATTATTGGGACCAATGAGGGTATAATGGTGTGAGTGTTTTGTGGGGAGGATGGAAGGCGTACCACTGCCAGCTCCTTAGGGTAAACCCAGCTGGAAGTCCACCGTCACTGCCCCATAGCACAGGTCAGCCTGATAATCTCCTCAATCTGAAGCTGCCACAGTGGCTTAACTAATAAGGCATCTAGGCCCTATGGCCAGTACACACATTTGAAGACCCTCAGCAATTTATAGTGGCATATACGTCCCATGCAACATTAGTAAAAGGCGTGGAAGAGAGTGTGAACACACAGAATGGCAGGAGAGGCATTGGCCATGCTAAAGGTTCTTAATAGGCCATTCTAAAGATTTTCAGCCCCTGAAAAGCCATCAGTATCAGTGGAACATTCTGCAGTAGCTCTTTATACTGTGATGCATCACACCTCACAGCATAGTTCTCATTGATGCACATGAGATGCTCCTGGCACAATTTATTTAGGTATCTTGAATCAATAGGATCGGGATATGAGGAAGTCTCTCTTCCTTTTAGAGCACCAAATTCATCCCTTCTATCCCTCATCATCATACATTGTCTTCCCTCTGACATACAGCACTGCTGAGACACAAAGCACCATTTACAGCATGACTGGTTTGGCTAAAAGCCACAAAAAGTGATGATCCATTGTTCTTCCACCTTCATTATATTTATTTAGTTTGCAGGTATAGGTACCATTATACTCAAGATTTATTGGAAATATTTAACCTGAGCTCTATCACTTTAGCTTTATTGCCATCCCTGGGATTGATCCTGTCTAGTGTGCAGCTTTTGTTTGTTTGTTTTAGTTGCATTTTGATTCAGAGGACATAGACTCTAATGGCTCCCAGTGGTTCCCAACCGGCTAATGTCATAAAATCCAGAAATAAAGTTTGTCAAGGAAAAGGCAGTTGCAAATGCTTTTCCCACAATTCAGTTTTTAAGGGGAACAGAGGGTTGTGTTTTTATGTAAAATACTAGCTTTCAGAGAGCCTTCACGTGTTCTCATCTCTGTATACTAGTGGGTTATGCAGGTGCATCTTCTAAACACAGAAAGTAAGATTAAAGGATAGAGGCAAAAGGGCCTTATACTGCCTTACCACAACCTCTGACCCTAATTGCCGCTTACTATGCCTAGGCAGGCCCATGTCTAATCCTTACCAACACATTTGGATGGGTGTCACTACTGTCACCGTTTTAGTGCAGGTAAGCAGAGCAGGCATTAAACTTCAGTGAGACCCTCTCCCTCTTAGGCCTGCAGCTGGAGGTCCTGCTTGAAGCGTGTAACTGGGAACATGGGGCACTTTTATGATGGTGGGTGGCATGGAGACTCTGAGCTCTCTGCTTTTCCTTTTGCTTTGATGCTGCCCAAATGCTTTTGCTACTTTAATTCCACTGTTGGCCTCGCAGTATTTTTGAGGTTTTGTCTTGATTGGTTTCATCATCCTTTATGAGCTACTTATAGGGTACTGAATGGATAGAAATTGTATTAAAATGCCATTTATGTATTTAATTAATTCATATGTGGAAGACTGGGAGATGGTTCTAAAATCAGTACTCTTGGTGCCCTGCTATTTCATATCAGTGTGTCTGGAGCAGTGAGAACAACTGGTCATGTGCTCACATCTTGCCCTTGTTGGTAAGGTGAGACTGATGCCATGGCTAAGAGAAGTGATTACTGCCATTTCTGGTGGTGTTCCTCTTGCTTAAAAGAGACAGGAGATCTGTTTCATTACAGGCCAGTCTCAGATCTTCCATTGTTAGCTGTGGTGATCAGGAATGTGGTGGCATTTCAACTCCACATGCCTCTAGGTAAAACTGATTATCTGGGCCCATTTCATCCTGGCTTTCAGCCAGGATATTAAACTGGGATTGCTTTGGTTGCCTGCATGAATGACCCAGTGTGAACTGGATGGGGGAATACAATCTTATTTCTCTTGAATCTCTCAGTGGATGCAATTATTTCTCTTAAACCTTTCATGTCACTGACCATGGCCTAGCAGTTGCTGTTTTGTAGCATTTTCAGTCTTTTCTGTAGGTACCCATTACCTACAAAGGCCCATTTGTTGGACACGCAAGAAAATGGCTTCTGTGTTGGCCCAAACTATACAATGAGCTGCTTTGAGAATTATGATTGACTTCTGCTCTCTTGGATTTTAGAAAGGGTTGAAGGGGAAACCTATCAGTTTAGCATTTAAAAATGTATTGTTTAATATTTTACCACGTTTAATGTTCTTGTTTCTACTATTTTGCAAATGCATTTTATTAAATTATTATACTCAGACTTGATGGTTTTTAAACAGATAAAGTAGTATACAAATGTGCCAATGATCAAAGGCCATCTCCATCTTCACAGTCTCACAAATGCTTGCCACTTGATGAGGCACCACAAATGAAATTCTACAGGAATCCTTGTCATCCCACTTAAACCGAATTTGTATCTTAGCGGTGCTTGCTCGCATTTTAGTTGCAAGTCATCAAGTGATGCATTGTGAGTCATGCCTACAACTGTTTCTAAACCTTATGCCACCAGGGATTGTTTCAGACCTGCGCCATTTTGAAGAAACTACTAGAAAGCGGGGAGCTTTGGGTCAACAGGAGGAACCTTTGGGGCAAGTCACAAGCAAGGAGGAAAAGATGCTATATGCCTAATTAAAACTCCATGTAACGCTTTCCCCTTTCTCCGCGCAGTGCTACAACTGTGAAGAAGAGGCCATGTATCACTGCTGCTGGAACACTTCCTACTGCTCCATCAAGTGTCAGCAGGAACACTGGCATGCTGAGCACAAACGCACTTGCCGCCGAAAAAGATGAAAGCTTCCTTTCCCCCCCCCGGGAAGGAATCGCCCTGATTTAGTGCTATCCTCTGACACAGCAGGTTTCTTTGGGCGGGGCGGGGTGTTTTTAAAGTTTGTTTCCAAGGGATTAGAATTATTAGAATTCACTCCCTGATTTCGTTGTTGTTGGGTTTTTTTCTTTTTTTTGCACCAGCCTTTAAAACACGTTTTCATAAATATCTTTTGCACAGTTAAATTTCAGTCTTTTTTTAATGCTCCACTCAATTTGTTCTCTCCCCCACCCTTGGTTTTTGTTTTTTTAGTGACAGTAAGGCAATTTGAATCTCTGCTGGAGCACATTACTTTTTGGTAAATTTAACCTAGGAAATTTTTTGAGTTTTCAGCAAATTTTTTAAAAAAGTGAAGTTTTTAGGTTTCATAGAGACTAAAAAATATAATGACAGGAACATTTTAAAGAGATTTGAATGTAAGATGTTTAAAACTGTTTAGAAAAGAAGAAAAAAAGCATACTACCTGGATGTAACACCTACCTGTTAATCACATGAGCTGGTTTTGTTCAGCTTAATTTACCTTTTAAAGGCATTATCTATTGGTTTATACCAGTGGGTATACGATTGAATTTTGGGAACAGGGTTGACACAGCAGGTGCTCGTCCTGCATATTTTTTCTTAAACTTTTTTTCCCAATTGTGTTTGTTTCATTATTATTTTTTTCAATATATAGCTTTTATAACAAAAAATATTAGCTTTGATCTTATTGCTTAAAATTCACGGGGGACTGGGGTAGCCTTTTGCTGAGCCGGATCTTAGAGGAAAAATATTTAAATTTTAAATTTACATTTTTGCACATTTCATCCTTCTTCTAACATGATGAAAATGCTTGTTTTAAAAAAGCCAAAACAAAAATACCCAATTTTACATTTAGACATATATGGAGCTATAAGGATGAGGCATAAGAAGAAAACAGGCTTAAACATTTGTTCTCTTACAGCCCCCTCCCCTTCCATAAGAAATGTAATTTGATTGACCATTAATCTACATTGCTTATTCAACAGTAAATTAATTAAAGTTGGGGGATCGGGAAGCACTTAAGTTTCACAGAAGCAGTTATGTCTGTAATAATTGGTTATTGCCATCTCTATACTTAGAATGAAGAATAATGCATGTTAATTTTCCTGTATTAAAGATGCTGTGATTTGTAAAAAGTCTGTCTTTTGCGGAATGTCTGGATAAAGAAGCGCTACCAATAGGAATGGATCGATAGTTAAAAACTGATTTCCCACCCTCCTTCTTTCCTTCCTCTTGTTTATTTTATGTATAGGTATATATATAAATTGCATCCATGTTCAGAGACAATTTTTAATAATAGTTGTAAAGTTTATTTAACCCACTTTTTTCTTTTAAAGCACCTCACAATTTTAAGGTGGTCTTAGACAACTAATGCCTGTTAATCATTTAGCCATTTTTCAACTTAGAAAAATAATTTGTAAATATTTATTTAGACCTTGGATATTTATTGAAAGCGATAACACAATGGAATAATGGGAATGAAAGAACTGGGAGGAAAGGCTTTTTAAGGGTTTTTTAAAAGTTTGTCTGGATTTTGTCCGGGTCATAGTGAAGATTAAGCTCATACTAAGCTTCTGTGATCTGTCAGTGCTGTCCAGATCATAAGCACGCAATGGTGATTGGAACAGAGTAGATGCTACCAGATAATTTCCAGGACAAATTTCCAAAATTCAGACCACAGAGTTTTAATTTAAATTGGACATGGTAATAAGATGGCTACTTTATCCCTGACCCAGAGATTTTTTGCACATGCAAATATGCATATGGGTCTCTTACATGCACAAGCTGCCCCATTCAGTCTGACAGGAAAAGAACATTCACATATGCATAGGAAAGCACATGTCTGGTTGCTTCCTCCATTGAATTGAATGGGAAAGCTGTTGCTGGCACAAGAAGCCTGTACAAGCATCGGAGCTTCTAGGCCCAGAGAAGGATCCGAGGTATGAGCATCTGCTAAATTTATCTTGGGACCTACCATCCTTAAGAAATTAGTAATTAGCTTTTGTTGCTCTGTGTTGTGACTGTAAAGGAATCCATTATCCCTACTGCAAGTGCAACAAAGAATATACCCTTTGATTGTTTTACAATTTCCAAAGCAAAAAACTTCGGTCCAACCCTATAAAAGCAAGTTTTTGTGAAAACTCTTTTTTTGGTGTAAAATCATTCCAGGATATGTAATATTTAACTGATAGCTGCATGAAAGTAAGGTTCGTGTTCTTTTGGCTTTTTTTTTTGTCTCTGTTGACACAGTTGCACATTTTCAAGTTACTACAGCGTGAAAACTGCGTGTTTTTAAAAAAATCAACAAAATAACAACAACAAAAAAATTGTGGCCTGGTTTTGTATAAGTTTTAGGGGGAAATATCATTGTTTTAGGAATCCTGATTTTAAAAATACTTTTTTTTCTGCAAATCATAAAGCTATATTAAAGTGTTGAGCTTAGCCACTATGCACATTGTAATTTACTCATTGTGGCTGTCCAGTTCTATGATGCATTCTGGCATTTTGTAAGCTGCTCTGACTAGCAATATATAGAGTCATTAAATGTGTTAACATTGGTTAATAAATGTATTTGAAAAGGCAAAACCACTTGGAGTTTTCCTGTGTTATGTTATTCTTGGTCTTTTACATGAGCACACCAACACTGACTTCATTCATGTTCTTAATGCCTCTCTTCAGAGAGGGTGAGTACAGGCAAAGGCGCTGTTCATGTGACAATTACCAAAGCCTGATCTACAGTCCTATTACAGAGTTGATGTAGCCCTGCTCATTCTCTTTGATTTCTCAGCCCCTAACTGTCCCTAAATCTTACCAAGTTGGAATAAAGATTGGGTAAGCGGAAAATGCAGTTATAAATGTTTCTGAGGGCTGTTAATAGGCTTCACCAGGACCCTGCTATGATGACCATGAACACACAGTCCCTTGAGGCAGTGTCTGCCCTTGCTAGTCCCTTTTCTTCAAGTTGACCCTTCTTGGAAGCCAAGGGGAGACTATGAAGATTGTCACAGATGAATTCATATTGCCTCTTAGTGTGTTCTAGGTGAGCTTATATTTCCCTGTACATGGAACTCTTCTTGACAAATGCTGGCTGAGGCTTAATTTTACTTCTTACTGCAGTTCACTTACATTTGTAAACTGCCTTTCTTCAATGGAATTTAGAGCAGGATATTTAATGGTCTTTTGCCCCTTTGTCTGCAAAACAGCCCTGTAAAATAGGTTGCACCTAGGGATAATGAGTGTCCCAAAATAAGGATGGATGAGCATGCAATGTTCAAATTCATTGAGATTCTTTACATTCTTCCTCAAAGCTTGTTTTGGCTCATTGTGTTCCTGATTGAGAGTGCCTTTCTTCCCCCAAACAGGAAACGGGTGCATTTCTCCCATTGGCTAAAGCATGGAAATGCACATTTGGGGAGGGATTTACGGAAGTGTGCATATCTGCACTTTGGAATGCAAACGTAAGAACAGAAAAATGCGAAGCTTTCCTGAGAATTAGTTTGTTGCTTGCATTTGAGGTGGCAAATGGGACATGGTGGAATGATTTGCAAACAGGAACACAGTTACTGTGCTAGCCTAGCCCTGAGTCATGATTGTGTTTAAAACTAGCTGTTTACTATCCTAATCCAATACACCAACCTCCAGAAGTTGCAGCAAGTTTCTCCTGATTTCCCTTAGGGGGTGCCCATAGCCCAGTTTTTGGCTTCTCCCCTAGTGCTTAGCAGATCATGTGTTTGGGATTTACTTACACCAGTTTAAGACTCCTCTGCTGAATTTAGCTTTGTTGAGTGTATTCACATATGTGATCTCTGTACAGACACATCTGCTTTCCAAATGTATGACAAGGAGATGGCCAAAAGGGAAAGTCTCAAACCAGAAGTGAGCTGGGCATCCTTACACCAAGGAAATTTAATCATTAGTGGAAAGGCATGTAATATGAAAAAATAAACTTTTAAAAATCTGACATTTTCATAGAGAAAGTTGAAGTGTCTATGAAAAAATGCTATAATTTAAACTGTCGCTAGCTGAAAAGCCAATGTCGAAAAGGCTATAAAGTACAGGAATGCTAAAATCAAGGACTAGCTCCATGAAGAAAGTTGCAAAATGGAAAGGATATTTTTAGGCATGCATGTTGGTCTTAGTCATCTGGTTATAAAGGGGTTCATCCAGACAAAATTAGTTCAGCTTAGGCAAATCCTGTTGATTATAATTAAACTGAGCTTCCTTTAACAGTGGAGAAAGCCAGTGGAGTAAAGGCAAGTTACTCATCCAAGCAACTTAAGTGCACGAGGAGGAAGGGTTGAATTTCAGAGCCAATCTATGCATTTGATTCCACAAAAGCACTGCATAATGCTCATTACATGAAATAGAAACTGTAATGAGTTTCTATTGCCAAAGAAAAGGAAAACCAGCTCCAAAAGGAAAGAGAATGTTACACTAACCATGGCCAGGCTTAGGCACTCCATTCTTCACCTGGTGCTGCTGCTACTCCCTGCCATCAGATGTCCAGAAAAGTGCTCACTTGGTTTCTCTGTGTACATGTTAACAAAAAAAAGGGGGGGCTGGGAAGTGAGTGGAAAAAAAACAAGGCTAAGAAATGGAATAGGAAAGAGATTGAGCAGACTAAAATTAGGAGGGAAAGAAACTATGAGGTTGACATGTCTGGGAGTGAGGAGGAAATAGCAAGGCAAAAGGGAGAGAAAAAGCAAGGCTGGAGTCTGAAAGTGAAGAATTGCAGAGAAAGAAAGGGAAGAAATGGGAGGACAGGCTTCTTAGGATGCTTAGAGGGTGGAAGAAAGGGGGAAACTGCAAGGCAAAGGGTTTGAGGGGAGAGAAATAGGCTAGAAGCTGGGATTAGTGGTGGAGAGAGCAAAGGGGGCAAGGCTGCCCTGGGGAAGAAAACTTTTCTCTTGTAGCAGCTGATCAGCTGCAGGTATATTTTTAAATTTCTTTTTCTTTTCTCTCCCCCCGCCCCCCACTTATTTAAAGGGGTTGAAAGGCAGTGTAAATATTTACTGGCACTCCTGGAAATTCTTGTGGGCACTTTGGCTTGGGGACACCTAGTCTACGAGGAGCCATCCTGTTCACCTCCCACATTGAGGTGCTGTTTGGGGCTTGCACATAGGGTTCAGAAAGGAAGAACTCGCAGGCAAATGGGTAATTTAAGATTACAATATCCCAGCTTCACTGAAAAACTTAGTAAAACTTTAACTTGACAGCCTGCAAGGTGTTTGCTTCTTTGGTAGGCTAATAGGAGTTAGAGTCTGCTGTCTCGCACTCTGCAGAAATCAGGAGCTGTTGCAATTAAGCAGGAAATCTCTGAAATTAAAACAATATCAATGTATGTGCTGGAGTAATATATACCACAGATGTGGCCTAAAAATAGCTAAAGATTCCATAGACAGAAGGCGCCACTGCTTGGTATGGTCTGTATGCTGTTTACGAGCAAACCCTCATTAAGCGGGGAAATAGACTCTGATCTGCAGTAGTTTGAATTGTTCAGAACATTTTAGCTCCCACTTAGATCAATTGGATTAAAAGCATTGATCCCACATGGCAGCCGCACTGATTTGTGGGATGAAAGTTAACTTCCCAGCCTTTGGGGAATGACTGAGGAGGTGGGTCTGGATGCCATGGCTCATTGACAAACATATTAGCTTAGAAGTAGGTTGCACTCAGAAATCCCTGCTTCTTCCAGTGTGCTGTTGTCTGGATTCTACATTGCCAGAAGAGAGGGAATCGTCCACAGAGTTGCTGGCCACTGCAACGATTTGGATATCATCCTTGAGATGATCTTTTTATGCTAGTATGCGTATGTATGCAACAAGACTTCCTCAAGGTAGAAACTGGAGGTTTCAAGTGTATGCCACTTACCTGAGAGTAATCTCAGTAGGATCGCTTTGTTAGTCACTCTGAATATATTGGGGCAAAGATTGGCAAAGAGAATTGGGCAAAGATGCTAAACTGAATAAGTAATATACATGCATGAAGCGACTGGGCCAACAAATGTCCTGGATTAGAACTGTTTCCATATGCATGTTGGGTTTTCAGTTTTATGTTATCCATTCCTCCACCTTATTATTCATGTTTTGGAGCATGCATCCCCCCAAACTGAGCAGCAGGGGCTGTCGGGGTTGGATCCAGAACCTGCCTCCTGTAAGAGGAAGGACTCAACTTGTGACTGCTCCCTTGGTTCGGATTTTAAGGGCTCTGTTTCCTGGCACAGCCCAATTGCTCTCACTCTCGCTCTCTCACACACACACCAGCTCACCCCATTCAGCAGGTTTTCTTTACTCTCTAGGTAGCACTTTCAGTGGGCTGGAAGCACAAGGATGGGGCAGAAAAGTCCATTCTTTCAGTATAGTTGATCCAATGAAAAACCCAAGCTCTGTGAGCACATATTGACAGCAAATCTGTCAGCTCCTTTCTTCCGTAAGCATGTTGGGTCTCTTCCCACCATTTCTGCTGCCTTCAGCAAGCTTTTGTATTCCATGGGGAAAGTTGAACCCCAGACAAAGTTATGGAATAGCAAAAAAGAGACCAGCTAAGAGCAAACTTCATCTTCTTTCTCCACCCAGTTGTGGTTGGTTACCATCCAAAGTACTAGACCAAGATCTTCCATTACTACGCTGCTTGGGTAGAACCAACCTGAGTGTATATGGAAAGGAGGTGACTGCAAGCCAGACCTTTGACTCTGACCCTGAGTTATGGGCACTCCTCTAGGGCTTGCTCCCATAACCTGTTTTGTCTGACTCTTGAGAGCTCAACAACCTCTTTTCTTCCCAGACTTGGACAGCCAAGCAAGAGAATATGACGAGGAAGTCAGCTTTTGAGGGAGAACCACAAAGCAACTCAATTTTCTTGTGTTCATTGTTGCATTATATAAAACCCCACTATGAAAGCACGGAAAGGGGGAATTAATCCATCACACTTTTGCCTAAAGCCTCTTCTTAAATCATTAGGACACAAACAATAATTCTTTGGGAAGCCCAAGGTGACTATTTCACGGCAGGAACTGGGGGCTGGAAGAGAGTCAAAGAAGTCATAACTCCCCGGACAAGTTACATTCATCTTTCCACCCTCTTTCCACACACTCTCTTTTCCCCTCCCATCTCCCTGCCAAAGGCACTTCCAAACTTGGACCTGAAGTTTTAAAAGCTGCATTATGGGTGATCTCCTATGCCTTTTTGACAGGAAAGCAGTTCTGCAGTTTATGAACTTATGTTCACATATCTTTTTGACAATCCAGGCATGTAAAGTCTCATGCATATTGGAAAAAGTGCAAGGATCTGGAGCTGCAACTTTCCCAGTGATGCCTGGGAGTGGAAGGGAGGGTTACAGGCATTCATGCAGCTGGGCTCATAGCTTGTAGCCTCTGTTGTGGGGGCAGGAAGCTGAAGAGCCCCCACAAAGTGGTTGGAGGCACTTACTATGAGCAGAACTTACCTTGTAGCAAGTATGCCTGCCCAGTTTCCTGAGAACCCCATTCCCTCTTCTCCAAAGGTAGCCTCAACCTCTGTGAAGCATTTAAGGTGGAAGGGTTACTGATTAAAAAAGCAGTTTGCAGTTCTGTCTTCAAAGGGCCTCCA